TCGGACCCTCCCGTTGGACTGTGTTCCCAGAGGACAGAGGCCGCCTGTGCCTTGCTCACCTGTGTGCCAGCACCTGGCACATGCTCAGTACGTGGTCATTAAATGAGTCATTGACCGGGTCTGGCCCTTCCTCTATCTCCTTCCCCTGAACAGTATCTGAGAAAGAAAAACGAGGAATTGGAGAAGCTGTACCAGGAACAAGAGGTGCCGAAGCCAAAATACTGGTGAGTGATGCCTCATAGTCGTGTAGAAAGGGACACCAGGACCCTCGTGTTTGCTGGAAGCCACCCTGTCTGTGGGTTACAGATCTCCTCCCCGTCAACCCTGAGATACAGCCCAGCAACGTCCTTCAGGGGGCCCGGGGGTGGTGGGGAGTGACATGGCTGCTTCTCTTCGTAGGGGTGGCTACATCCTGTGCCCACAGGTGGTGGAATTCTGGCAAGGCCAGACCAACCGCCTACACGACCGGATCGTCTTTCGGCGGAGCCTCCCGACAGGAGACTCCCCTTTGGGGCCCATGACCCACTGCGGGGAGGAAGGCTGGCTCTACGAGAGGCTTGCTCCCTGACTCCCGGGCTGCGGTGCCCACGGGAGCGAGGACCGGGTGCTGAGAGAGGGTGTGGGGTTGGGAGTCGGGCCCTTCTAAGGGCCACCGTTTCCCTCCGCACTCCTTACATGTAGGGGTCTTCAGAGTTCATCCTTCCAGTACCCTCTACTTGGCTGGCTCTCAGTAAGCTCTAGTGGAGTGTAATGGTGGCATAGAGAACCACAAATGGACAGTAATCTCATCATTATTTTCTTGATTTTGACGATAGTTTACTGGAATGGCTCCCTCTAGAGGGAGCAGCTGCTGTAAATCCCTCTTCTGGTGACAGAGTGGGTCCCCAGCAGCCCTGTCTTTTTACCACTGTGACTGAGTCCTACTGGCCAAAGCTGATTGGTCCCAGCATAAGCACCTGAGCCAATCTCACCCATCGGTTTTTCTTGTCAATATTGGAAATTGGACACGGAGAGACCCAGAGCGTGCTCACTGTAGCCGCGTGGTTAGTGGCAGCCAAGAAGCCACGGCCTCTGGCTGCTGCTCTTGCAATTCCCTGAGAGACCTGGCGCCCTCCTTCCCCGCCGGGGCTGTGCGGTTCCTCCTCCTGCCTCACACACCCACTGTCTCTAAAAAGAAGTTTTTTTGGACATAAACTCGAAGAATAAATTGCTGTTGATTGCAAATAACAGAACCCTAACTCACTCGTTTATTAACAGATACTCTTATAGCATTTACCCTGCTGATAGCTGCCTTCCATGATCTGAAGCACAGCAGTGTGGGGAAAGATTGAATTTCTTCTCTGTAGCTCCAAAGGACCCATCGGTGGATATTACACAGAAATGGATTTCACTTCAGTATGGGGAGAGATTGCCAGGGGGAGGGGGTAGTGAGCATTAGGTAGTGAGTATTCTCTTCCTGGGAGCATTCAATCCCAGTCAGGAGTTTTGTAGAAAGGATTCATGTGCTGGTACCTACGGGCCAGGAAGATTTTAATCAAGCTTTATTTTCCATGTTGGTTTATAAACAGTATTTATTTATTTTACTTTCCAGGCATGAAATTAAATTATAGAGATTCTGCCTTTCTGACTACTCACACATCCCCTTCCCTACTCCTCACCTCTCCACATCACTGGTTTTCACCCACATTGGAATTACCGGGGGCCGGGGGGGGGCTTTAAAAATCCTGATGATGCCTAGATCCTCCCCTTAGAGATGACTTCACGGGTCTGAGGCATTGGGAAATTTAAAGGCTCCCAGGGAACTTTGTGAAGCCAAGATTTCGAGCCCCTGGGCTAGACCCTGTGTGGGCCTCAGGACGGCAGGCAGCATCGGCATCACTTGGGAGCCCACCCCAGACCCACTGAGATCCCGCCTGCATTTAACAGGACCCCACCCACCCCTGGTGACAGTGCACCCTCACGATCGGATTCTCCGGGAACCCTCGGCCGAGGCCTGTGCTGAACTGCATTTGCTTTCCTGGAGCACAAGTCTGGTGACCAGGGTCAGCCTGGATGAGTGGCCTGCAGGCTGTGGAGAGGAGCCAGGCTGGGTAAATGTTTGCTGTGACTCAGCCAGGGTGAGAGGACGGACTATTTGTGCACAGTGGCGTTGAACCTGCCCCTCTGCACACGGCTTCATTCACTGTACGGGCATGTGCTTCAGCGTCTGTGAGTGACCAGCTCCCCCAAGGGCCTCTCTCTTGTTATTCATCCCCCCTCAAGCCCGAGCGTAGGAAAGCACAACCTTTCTGAAACCTACAGGAGAGGGTGCTGGGGACCCTTCCCTTGTCCTGTTTGTGTTTCTGGGAGCTGTGTCTCCCCAGCTTTGAGCCTGGTCTCAGCAGTTCTGTTCTCCGTCCGGCAATCACTTTGCCAGATCTCTAATAAAAACTCACCAGATGTGCGTGATGTTAATGTCCGGTCTGGCCTGGTCTTGCCCCCCACCCTAGGAAGGAAGGGAGTTGGGGGATTAAGCAACTCTGCCCACCTCGATTTTCCTCTCTTGGGAGGTGGGGCATCCAGCAGGGGGCGCCTGCTGCCCAAGGTTGGCCCCTTTTCGGCTGCACAGGCCATTCTAGCCTGCCCCGCCTGCCTCCCCCTCCCCCCTTGGGTTGAGTCCCAGTGAAACTGTGGTCGATAACCCGTAGCCTCTCCCGGCTCCTGCACATATTTGCACTTTCGGTTCCTCCTCCTCTGGCCTGGTAAAAACTCACAGCTGCCTGGGCTGACTCCCTGGGCAGCCAGATATCCCTTTGGCCGTTGGTAACCACCCCACCTCCTCACCCCCATCCACTAATCCCAGGTTAGGGGAATATGTGGAGTTTCCCGGGAAGATTCCTGCAGTCATCAGTTTGGGGCCGTGGAGCATGGTCATATGTATGGGGCAGAGGGGTCCGCAGACCCTGCCAACTAGAAGGAGTCATGGTGGCAGTGAGGTGCCAGCGTTAGGCCACAGGTAGGGTCTGTGGCCCAGGGCCCAGCTTCATCCCCCTACCCTCGCCTCAGGGAAGCTCAGGATGGGCAGGAGCGGGAGGTCCCTACAATCTGGGGTCTCAGGGTCCACTCAGCCTCCACGCTGGTTGGCTCTCCCCCGTTGGTCCCAGAGTCTGCAGCACCCTCAAATGGTGCTCGCCTCCCAGGATCCCACGGTCCAGGCCTAGCCCTGGCTCATCCCACCTCTCCTTCAGCTGAAGGTGACCGGTTCCTTTCTTTGTCCCGAGTTTCCCATCCCTAAGCAGATGCAAATCAAGAATGGAAGGGGCTGTGTGTTTCAGTGGTCACAGCGCAGCCCAGCTCTGGCTTCAGTTCCAGCCCCACCTCTGCGAGGACATGGTCTCGGGTGAGTGACTTCAAGCTCTCTAAGCTCCGCCCTCACCTGGAAAGTGGGGGTAGTTAGTAATGGGCCCTGTCTCAATGGGGCACGAGAGGATTAAAGGAGGAACCTGGGGGAGTACTTGCCACAGGGCCTGTCCCATTTTAATCCTCATCCAAGGATGTTTCTTTGTTGTTTTTTTGATGCTCACCCAAGGATTTTTTCCCCATTGATTTTCAGAGTGGAAGGGAGTGGGGAGAGGAGAGAGAGAAACATCTATGTGAGAGAGACGCATCGATTGGTTGCCTCCCACATGCGCCCTGACCAGGGCCTGGGATCAAACCCACAACTGGGGTACATGCCCTTGATTGGGAATCGAACCCGCAACCTTTTTGATGTACAGGACAACACTCCGATCAACTTAGCCACCCAGCCAGCGTGGGCCTGGCCCATTTTAAACCCTCTGTAAACGTCAGGTATTGACAGTGGGCAGGACTGGACTATGGGGAAAAGTGTGCTCCTCCACGGGAGGCTTTATGGACTGAGTTACTGGGGGGACCTTAGAAAGTTCCGGCATGAGGAGGGACAGGGGAAGAGTCCTCCTGTCCTCCTGCTCCCGGTCTCTCCCTCACTCATCCTCAGAGCTCCCCGTGCCTTGGGTGAGGCCACCTAACAAAGGCCCCCTTGTATGGTCTGTTTGTTTTGGTAATAAATTTCCTGAGCAGCACTCCTTGGGGTGGGGTGGGGTGGCCCAGCAGCCTGCGAGGAGCTGGCCTGGAAGCTGCTGGACCACATTGTTTAGTCGCCACCTTGGTCTCTCTCTCTCCATGTTCCCACCATGAGCTCTGGAGATATGGCCAATGTTTTCCAGTTCCCAGCTCCTGGGGCTTGAGAAAGATCCAGATCTAACAGCCTAACGAGCACGCTCTCTCCTCTTCCTTAAATGGAAACTGGGGGCTATGGTGAGTTCCCTAATAAGGGAAAGGGGGGAGGAAACCAATGTTAATGGCGCACCTACTACAGGACTACAAATGGGCCGCTAACCACTGACCACTCCCTGTGACATAGATATCATTATAGGCCCTTTTATAGAAGAGAAAACGGAGGCTCAGAGGAGGGATGTTTAAAAAAAATTTATTGATTGATTTTTAGAGAGAGAAACATTGATTTGTTGTTCCACTTATTTATGCATTCATTCTATGTGCCCTGACGGGATGGAACCAGCAGCGTATTGGGACGATGCTCTAATCAACTGAGCTACCGGCCAGGGTTCAGAGGAGGTTGTTTTTTGTGTGTGTGTGTGTTTTTAATGTTCCCCAAATCACACCGCTACTAAGAGGTGGAACCAGAATTTGAATCTTGATCCCAAACCAAACCACTGCAACTTTGGGTCAGTCCCCAGAGGTCTGCTTCGTTCTCTTGCAGCCCCTGCTGGCCTCTGTTGACCAGAGGGACTGACCACTGAGGTGCCACAAGCACCGTGGCTGGAGGGTGAAACTGGTGTCCCCGTCCCTACATTCCGCCACCTGGGACCCTTTGTGAAATGTGGGAGGAACGATTTGAGCACCAGGTTCCACTGCCATGAAGGGAAACAAAGACATAAACACAGTCCTCTCGATAAATGGAAGACGAGCGTAGAAATAGATGCTCCGCTTTTGCAGCATTGTTTATTACAAAGGGAGAAACCTACAGTTATTTCCTTAAACAAAATTCAAGGCTCCAGGACTCATCTCTGGGGCTGATCCATCTTAAATACCGGGGGTGGGGGGGTGGGGGGGGGGAGAACTGGCTGCAGTTAGGTCTGACCAGAGCTTCCCCACCCCCTCCCCTAACTTGGACCCATGGGGTCCCTAACCTGGCCACCTCCAGGGAGTGCCAGGGTCCTCCTCCCCCTGCACATCTGGGGGCAAAGTTCCCGGAAGTTTCCCACTTGTGTTAGGAGGTGAGCTCAAGTTCAGCCCACCTCTGGCTCCTGGAAACCATCCCCCATCACAAGTCTGCTGGAAAATGCACTCTCAGGATTGGTCCAGGGAACAGTCACAGGTAGAGACAGTAGAGGGAGCAGCAAGTCAAACTCACCCTTGACCCCGTGCCCTGGGAGGAAGTGAAGTCAATCAGGCTCCCTCTCTCTATTCCTGGTCCGCCTCCCTGCCCGCCCTGACACGGCTTCCGGGAGGGCTGACTCCCTGGGTGGCACTTGTCATCCTGGAACCGAAGTGCCTTTATATGTGGTGGGGGACGGTGGGAGGACCCTGGGATCTCCCAGGCTTCCCAGAAAGCCGGGGCACATAAATACAAACCTAAAACCAGACATTGCCTGCCAGCAGGCATCAACTGCCCCCAGGGCTTCCGCTGCGGCCAAAGAGGCCTGCGTGGCAAGCTCCGAGCTCAGATCCAGCTGACGGCAGGGAGCAGGCAGGGAGCTGCTGGCTAGCACCCTCCTCGGCCCCATTCACTGTCCTTTGCCCTCCCTGTCATCGAAGAGGTTGGGGTTCTCCGCCAGCGTGGCTCGCACCTTCTTCTTCTCCTTGAAGCGGCCGGAGTTGGAGACCTTGACGTGCTTGCCCTTCGTGTTCTTGTCCACGATCTTCTCCAGGCGGGTGTTAAAGTCACTGTTGGGATCCCCGCCCTCAGGTCCCGGGGGCTCGGCGCCGCCCTCCGCTTGGGCATAGGTGTCAGGGATCTCGTACAGCACCTTGGGGGCCGACTTCTTCTTCCGGAGGAAGGTCAGCTTCCACCAGCCCACTTCGGTCATGGTGCTCCCTGAGCGGAGGGGGGGCTTCTGCAGGAGAGAGGAAGGGGTCAGTGGGGAGAAGGCGGGGGGTGCCTTGGAGCAGCCCCCTCTAGACTCCTAACCACCGGCTATTTTATTGATCTATTATTTACTTATTGTTTGTTTAGCTATTTATTTTTGTTATTGTTCATCCTCATCCAAGGATATTTTTCTGTTGGTTTTTAGAAAGAGTGGGGAAGGGAGGGGAAGAGAGAGAGAGAAACATCGAAGTGAGAGAGACACATCAATTGGTCGCCTCCCGCACGTGCCCCGACCAGAGCCTGGAATGAGTCTGCAATCAAGGTACCTGCCCTTGACCAAAATAGGACCCAGGACCCTTTAGTCTGTGGGCTGATGCTCTATCCACTTCCGTTCACTGAGCTAAACCCGTTAGGGCTATTATTATTTTTAATCCTCACCTGAGGACATGCTGAGAGAGAGAGAGAGAAACTTCAATCAGTTGCCTTTAGTATGTGTTTCAACCAGGGATGGAACCCACAACCCAGGTATTCTCCCTCACCAAGAATCGAATGGGCAACTTTTGATGCACAGGGCAATGCTCAACCACCTGACTACTGCAGCCAGGCCCCACGGGCTATTTTTAATGGCCCAGGCCTAAAGGAATGAAAGGTGGGGCCGAGTGACCCCAAGATTCAGGTAAGTGATGCAATGCATTTGGAGAGAAGAGAGAGGGTCTGGGGAAGAGGTAGCCAAACACACATGGACAGGAAAGCCATCTGAGCCCAGGGGAGGTGACAGTGGGGAAGACACAGGCCATCGCCAGGCGGCATCGAGCTGCCAGGTCCCTTGGGGCTGCAGGAAGGTGAACAGCTTGCCCAAGTCACACAGCATCCAGGCCTTGGACACCCTTTGGGCAGATGGTCAACTGGTATCAGACAGACAGAAACACCCTGGGCATCTTGCTTGGAATTCATTCATTAATAAATCCATGCATTCAAATTTCAACAGGACGTGTGATGTTTAGAGTAATTTGGACTTCCCACTGGTGATGAGCAGGAGAGGAGCCTCAGGCTGGGGGTGGGAAGCGCTGGGACTGCTCCAGGTGCGTGACCCCTGGCAAGTGACTCCAGGTGCGTGACCCCTGGCAAGTGACTCCAGGTGCGTGACCCCTGGCAAGTGACTCCAGGTGCGTGACCCCTGGGACTGTTCCAGGTGCGTGACCCCTGGCAAGTGACTCCAGGTGCGTGACCCCTGGCAAGTGACTCCTCTGGACCTCAGAGGCCTCATCCGTGCCTCCCAGCCTCATATTCAGCTCTGACGTTGATGGCCGCCCACAGAGAGAGACTTGCTTTGCAAAATACAACTTACGATAATGGTGATAATGGTTGAGGGATGGCCCCCTTTCCCACCCAGCTTCCACAAGGACAGGAGTTGGAAGGGGAGCTGGAAATTTGGAAGGAGGTTCGGTGGGGCCAAGAGGTACATGCGACATATGGTTTTCATGGGCTGGACTCTCCATAGGAAACCCCAAAGAGATGGGCTGTGGGCTAAAGTCCAGGCTCCTCCACTGACAAGCCGTGTGCCCGGGATGAGACCCCACCGTTTACCGACCGCCACAAAGGTGCGTCTGAGCTAGTGGAGATTTTGGGAGATGCCTGCACATCACTGACAGGTGGGCATGTAGACCAGAGGGATTAAGATCAGTCATGGCACCTCTGTTTCGGGAGAGGCTGGTAGTCTGGCCTCGGGACTCCTGAGTGTGGCTGTGAAAGGTCCTGGGGAGGAGGGGCAGCAGCCACCACACACCAGAAAGCTAGACGGTCAGTCAGCCCGGCACAGGCAAATGTGTCACCTCTTTCAAAAAACAGATGGTCTTGCCCGGCCGGCGTGGCTCAGTGGTTGAGCTTCAACCTATGAAATAGGAGGTCACGGTTCAACTCCTGGTTAGGGCATATGCCCGGGTTGCGGGCTTGATCGCCAGCGTGGGGCATGCTGGAGGCAGCCGATCAATGATTCTCTCTCATTCTCTCTCATCATTGATGTTTCTCTCTCTCTCTCTCTCTCTCTCTCTCTCTCTCTCTCTCTCTCTCTCTCTCCCTCCCTCCCTCTCTTCCTCCCTCCCTCCTTTCATCTCTGAAATCAATAAAAATATATTTTAAAAAATAAAAATGAAAACTGATGGTCTTAACTACCTTTTCTAAAAAGGCCAGAAAGAAATATGACAAATGTCTAGTAGTGGTTTTCTTTATGTAGAAGGAATATGGGATGCTTTCTCCCCTCCACTTTTCTAATTTCCAGATCTTCCACAATGAGTGTGGAGTCTGTTCTGTTAGAGGAGGAACACATCAAATTCAGAAAAAACGAAGGCTGGGAGTGGGCTGAGCGCCCCCCTCCATCAGCTCCCTTGCTGTTGTCCCCCGTCCCCCCAAAATGCCCATCCCCCTGCCCAGAGCACGCGCCCAACCGATTCCTTCCAGGGCTTTGTCCAGAAGGCAGATTCCACGCTGCCACCTCTGTCCCTCTGCTCGGCTCACGCAGCAAGAGACCCCAGGGTAGACCTGGTGCAGCTCCCACTTAGAAAGGGAGGGAGGGGGAGAGTGGCCAGATAAATACCTTCCGGGCACCCAGGGGAGGCGAGGGCACCCGGGGGACGGCCCGGGAGGTTTGCTTTGGCAGCTCGCCCCACCCGGGCCTAGCACAGCCTTGCTCAGATCTCGGTGTTCCAGGATGGGTGTCTGGAAGGAGCTGCGAGAAGGGCAGGGAAGGACGGACAGGAGGCTTGCTCCCTTGCTCGGCCTGTGGGTGCCTGCGTCGCCACCTGGCCTGGGGCAAGTCCCATGGCCCCCCCAGGGCTGCCAAGGAACGTGGGGAGTGGAGGATCCAACTCCCGAACCAACAGCAATAACCAGACTGCCTAGCCTAGAGGAAGTGGCTGTTTTATGTGCCAGTTAAAACAGGCCCGCTTTACTGGGCATTTCAAGTTAGCCTCTACAGCAGCGGTTCTCAACCTTCTGGCCCTTTCAGTACAGTTCCTCATGTTGTGACCCAACCATAAAACTATTTTCGTTGCTACTTCGTAACGGTAATGTTGCTACTGTTATGAAGCGTCATGTAAATATCTGATCTGCAGGATGGTCTTAGGCGACCCCTGTGAAAGGGTCGTTCGACCGCCAAAGGGGTCGCGACCCACAGGTTGAGAACCGCTGCTCTACAGGGAGGGACAGATCACAAGGAACTGGTCAGAAAACCAGAGTCAGGAATGGCCCTTGGACCCTGCCCTTCGGCCTCCACCATGGCACCTCGGTGCCCGTGTCTCCTGGCTTAAACTCTGGTCTCTCTAGCAGACTGTTAGCCAGGCCTCGCTGTCCCCCTGCTTAGGGTACGCGAGCACAAGCAAGCACGTGGGTGCCCCTTTAAGCAAGCCTGGCCTGTGGAAATCTGAATTTGCAGATTAGCTAAATTAGGTCTTTGTTTTGCAGAATAACCCAGCTAGCTATAAGATTCTGTCTGGTAAACAGTGAGTTACCCCGAGAGTGTAAAGTCTGACTTGCTTAAAAAAGAAGAAAAAAAAGAAAGTGTTATCCAAACTTCCCAGCTACCCAAAGTAGCCAAGAACAAGATACCTACAGCCACACGCCTACGCCTAATCGCAGAGGGTCGCAGGGCTGGGGGCGGGGAATGAATTGGGATTTTGAGCAGGGTCTGCAGTCTGTTCATGGGCCAAGCCGAGGGCTGAGCCCTTGCCCTGGGGCCCTACAATCCATGGGATGATAGAAATCTGCCCCTGAGGAGGCCACTACACCTACACTGTTTGCACAGCTTGGGAGCCCAGCCTCCCGGGACAGCCCACCGCCCTTGCCTATAATAGCTACACCATGGCCCGCACGCACGTGGGCACCCGGGTAGGCCCCACCGCCCCAGCTGAGTTTGCCCAGGCGAGGTTGAGCCCCTTCTCAGCTGAGCCAAGTTAACCATTGACTGGGGCAAGTGGAGGGGTGGAGGGGGCTGGAGGGAGCAAGTCGGCATCTGCCTTGTAAGACAAAACCCAGAGCCCCAGCCCTCAGCTTTCTGGGGGGCCGTGGGACTTCTCCACCCTGGATAAATCTGGGGTACCCTAGACAGGAACAGGAGGAGGTTCAGACAGCCAGAAATACCCTCCAGGCTGGGGGTAGGCGCTGGTGGGCTCCAGCTCCACAAGAGTTAACAGAGAACTGCTCTGGAGAGAAACTCTCCCCCCAGGAGTTCCAGGCTGGAGGCCTGGAGTGACTCCAAGAAGCCAACGGGACGAGCCCCGAATCCTGCCTGCTCACCCAGGAAGGTGGGAGCCCGCGTGCCAGGCTCTCCCTCGCAGCTGGACTTGTCAGCCACGGAGGCAGACGGGGCCCTGGCTGCACCGCGGTTTCCCCGCCGCCCACCCGCGGCCTGTACCTGTGATCCTGGCTGCCGCAGCTGGAGGTGAGCCCCTCCCTAGGGAAGGGGCTGAGCGCCGGCGCTGCCCCTGGGGGAGCCTGGGGGAGCCGGGGGAGCCGCCAGGGTGCTGCGCCAGGCACGGCCGGGCCAGGGGAGCTGGGTAGGAGCAGCTGTGCGGCAGGTGCCAGAGAAACAGGTGCGGGAGCGGGGTACCTGCTCACTGTGCCTGCAGGAGTCAAGGTGAACCTGAAACCCAGCCCCTCCCGGCTAAGTAAACAGAAGCAGAGGCCTGCTCGGCCTGATGAATATTCATTACCCCAGAAACCCAATCCCTGGGCCCGGCACCCACCCAGGGTCCTGCAGGGACCGCCTGGCCAGGAGGAGGAAATCCCCAGGGAAGCCCGGGGTCGGGGAGGTGGGGAGCCCTCTGCTCCGTCTCCCCCCTCTCCAGCGCCTGGTTGCTGGCCGCCTGTAGGCAAGGTCACCCCCCCCCCCCCGCCCGGTTCATGCCCGAGGAGGTTCAGAACCCTTTTCGGCCACAAAAAAGCCTGGACCTTGCCCCGGGCGCAACCGGGAAAGGGTTAAGGACCGCTGCTCCCCGCTGGCTGAGGAGGACAAGGGTGCACCCAGCTCCTTTGAACTCCAGAGTCGAAACCAGTCCCTGGTTAAACTGGTTGGCAGAACGGTTCCCAGGGTGTCCGCTCCGCCCCAGGTTCAGGGCTCCACAGGCGGCGCTGGGTGGGCGGCTGCGGCTCCCAGGCCCTAAAGGCCCCTCCTCAAGCTCTCCCAGCGCTGGAGTGGGAAGGGGGCCCTGGGGCCTCCAGACCCACTACAACCGCAAATCTCCTCCCGCCTCCCTTGCTCAGCGGTGGGCTCTGGGGGCCGTGAAAGCCCGTGTGTGCGGGAAAGGGCGGTTATGTTCCTGCGACGGCACCATACTTTCCTTAGCCTCTCGGAGAGAACCGTGATGGCTCCCACCCCAGGCACCACTTCACTCAGCTTCCCCCAAGTGGCCAGCTGCCCCTCGGATGGACCTCGCTGGGTGTTCCAAAGCGCAAAACCTGGGGCCGGCTCTCAGGGAGGAGGCGGGGAGAGAGGAAAAGGCGAGAAGGCAGAGTGCACAGGGGTGACATCCTCACTGGTCCCCGCAGTGGTCGGCAGCCACAGCTCCTCTTGCAAATCAGCCGGGCCCTGAGCAGCCCTCGGCCTGGCTGCTCTTACATATGGCGCGTGCCTGGGGGAAGGTTCTCTGGGGCCCCCTCAGGCGGCCCTTGGTGTTTGCGGTCTCCCTCCCCGCTGTACGCTGTACGGTGAGTGCCCCGCAGCTCCCTGTCCCGGTGCTGCCCAGCCGAGATGCTCAGCCCACCGGCTCCCTTCTTCCATGGGCTGAGTATGTCCGTGCCAGGCTCCGAGGGGGGCACTAGGTGGAGAAAAGACACACAATTGTCCCTTCCCCGGCTCGCCCCCCACCCTACACTTTAAATCCTAACCAACTCTCAAACCTGCCCCACTGTCGCCACCTCGGCTTCTACTTCCTTCAGTTTCTCACGACCTTGTGAATTCGTGTCCCTAAGCCTCAGGGGGACAGGCCACAGGACACCCGCCTGGCCTGGTCCTCGGAGGATGGGATTCCTGCAGCCTCCTCTCCCAACGTCCCCCAATGTGCGCACGAGGCCCTTTCTGGGCCTCCCCTCCAGGGTGCAGAGGCTGCCTGGGTGGGTGAGATCAGGAACGCAGGCTGTGCTCTAGGCCAGGAATGGCCCCCCCACCCCCTGTGTAACCCAACACGAACTCCTGTTCATCCCTCAAGACCCAAATTAACTGTTTGCCTCCCGCCTCACCAAGAAGCGTCTTTTTCCGAAAGTTTGTTAAAAGGCTCCTATTTAACATGATGTGCACGATGGTTGATTGTGCAACCGGAATGAGAAGCAGAAACATTCTTAATGAGAAAGCCTTAATGTTGCCTTTGTGCCTCCCTCCCTTGGACAGGTAAGTGTGAGAGAAAACTGGTTTCTTTCTTTTTTAAAAAAATATTTTTAAAATATATTTTTATTGATTTCAGAGAGGAAGGGAGAGGGAGAGATAGAAATATGAATGATGAGAGAGAATAATTGATTGGCTGCCTCCTGCATGCCGCACCCCCCCCCCCTCCCCGGGATTGAGCCCACAACCCGGGCATGTGCCCTTGACCAGAATTGAACCTGGGACCTTTTGGTTCTCAGGCTGACGCGCTATCCATCGAGCCAAACTGGCCAGGGCTTTAAATATGTTTTTTGTTGATTTCAGAGAGAGGAAGGGAGAAGGAGAGAGAGAGAGAAACATCAATGAGAGATAAACATTCATCGGCTGCCTCCTGCACGCCCCCTACTGGGGAACGAGTCTATAATCCAGGGAATCAAACAATGACCTCCTGGTTCATGGGTCCATGCTCCACCACTGAGCCACCCAGCTGGGTGAAAACCGGGTTATGTCACTTCTTGTTTCAGCGGCAGCAGGCTTGTTACCTTGTCTCCCAGGGTTTGTGTGAATTGAAGATATTATTTTGCAAGGTCCCTTGCGGAAAGAGTACACTGTTGCCCCGGGAAGATGCCCACAACTTTCCAAATCTGACACTTTCTCTGAAAACCTGGTCCATTTGAGCGTGGACGTCCAGTCCAGACAACACCAGAGAGGCTGAAAAGCCATCCTAGCTCGGGTGTTGGGAAGGGACTGGAAGGATGGAGGGATGGGCACTGGCCTGGGGGACTCTAACCAGGGCCGGAGCCATTTCCATCTTCACAGGAAGAGGCTCCCGTGAAGGCACTCATTCCCCCCTCACCCCGCCCCCCGAAACCCAGGCCTCTGATTTCTGGGACACACGGGGGCAGAGTCCTGTCCTCTCAGCCTCACGCTGGAGAAGGCGCCCCAGGGGGAACCGCAGTGCCCACCTGTGGCCTGCCCTTCGGAGCATGCCACCCGGACCAGCCCCCCAACCCACCCTCCTGGGAGAGCCCAGCCTGGGAAGTCAGGCCCAACCCCTGGCCTTTGGGGGATCTATTTTGGGGAGGAGCAGAGTTGGGAGGGGAGTTTGAGACCAGGCTGTAGACTGTGAATAACCCTTTAACAGATCGCCCACACGCAGCCTGCTTCATTGCTTGATACAAGGCCTCACCTTTCAATGCCCTTTCTGAAACTAGGCTCTAGGGTGATATTCCACAAACAAGCAAAGTGCATGTTCTGGGAAACGTGTCCTTGTTGAGAACAGCAAGTAAAATACACGGAGGGAGTTAGTTCCAAGGACCTCGATGGCCTCCCGGGGCTCGGAGCCCTGCTTCTGTGGTCCTTTTTGTTGCAGGATGGAACCTGCCACTTGACCGGGAATCGAACCCACGACCCTTCGGTGTGCGGGCCGGCGCTCTAACCACTGAGCACACTGGCCAGGGCCTGTGTGGACTCAACCCCGATGGTGGATGGATCCTCTCAGCGGGTGCGCCAACCTGCATTCCCACTGCCATGTTCCCATTGCCCTCGGAGGCATGGAACAGAGTCTCCCCGGGAGCCAGCCGCTGCGCGGAACCCACCTCGCTGACAACTTGCTTTCAGGCTCCTGGCCTGCAGAAGCGTGAAAACATACATTTCTGATGTTCCGAGGCACCGTTTTGTGATCATTTGCTCCAGCAGTCCTGGCGAACCACAAACCTCGTTTCTGGTAAAGCTGAGCATCTTGTCAGACATGTGCTGGCCATGTGGGTTTCCTGTTCTCTGAAAGGACCCTTTCTCGGTGTAGAAGAGCTCCCCCCTCCCCATCTGACTGCCGTCCTTCTCCTGTGCACCGACTGGAATCCTATAAATGCGTCTATGGGTTCCTGGACCCTTGGCACAAGGCTACAGGGGCCTGCTGCCCGCTGGCTGGGAACCCCGGTCTGCAGGCGTAAATTCCAATCCTTCGCCGTGGGCCTGAGGGTTCTGCACGGTCTCCCCTGGCCAATCTCTTCCACCAAATAGCTTTCCCCTCTCCCCACAAACATCCCAGGCCCCCCTCCCCCACCCCCTCGTGATCAGCCTCTTCTGGAGCAGCCTCGTCTCTCTTTCCTGCTTCACCCATGCGGTTCCTCTCCTCTGCTCTCCACTCGGCCGCAGTCCCTTCCCACCCTGCAAGTCCCACCTCCAGGGCTTCTCCTCCCGGAGCCGCCCTGGCGGTTCCTGTCCCCACCCTGTGCCTGTACCCCCAGGTTGAGTTGGCCGCTCCTCCCCTCTGCTCCCCGAGCTCCCGCGCACACCTCTGACTCGGTCCATGACCTGTGACGCATGAGCACAGTGCTGGGCGCCGGGGGTGCTGTCATGGGGTTAGCCCTGCACGCATCATGCTGTCACGCTGTTGGAGGGCGGGGACTATGTTTCCGTGTGAAGGTCCCGACATTGACGTACATGGGACAGGAGGCCGGGCAGTGGCTTGGTTTTCGCTCCCTCCACCTGCCCTGAAGGGAGTGAGATAACGACATGCAGGGGCAGCCTTAGGAGATGACGCCTCAGACCCGACTCACAAGGCCACCCAGTGAGGCGTCCTCCCCTAGAAGACCAACAAGATGAAGGGGTGGGAGGGCACGGCTGGCCAGGGTTTGGGGTGCAGCCGGCGGCCCCAGAGCATGACCCAGCTGATGAGTTAAGTCAGTGGCCTGTGCTTAACTCGGGAAGCCAACCAGCCCTGATGTCTTTACCTCCATTTCCTCCCTCTGGTTCCAAGAGGTTCAGGGGGCTGGACTACACGTCCTGAGCTGCAGAGAGAGGGAGAAGGGACAGGCTGGGGGACACACACTCCGCCCCCAGACCCAGTGGTCCTGCTCCCCCCTCATCACTGTCTCCGTGCACATGGCGCACCTTCTCCTAGTCCTTCCTTTACACCCACCGTCAGGCCCCTCACGGTCAATGTCAGGTGTGAGGCCGGGGGCTGGGGTCACAGGGGTGAAGAAGGCTCCCCCTGCCCATAGGTGCCCTCAGACTAGCTGGGGAGGTGGACACTGGAAAACGCCGCACAGAGATCATCCTGCAAACAGCGAGGGCCCCCCTGAAACCGCTGAGTTTCCAGGGCTTCCAGCCCGGCAGGCAGACCACACGCATGCACACGCACACACACACGCACACACACACGCACACACACAGGCAGCGTGGCTGTGAGCAAACACGCAGAAGACACGGACCATAAAGTAATAAACAGAGGGCCGATTAAAAAATGGATTGCTTGAAGGTCAAGGGTAAGCCTCCTTTCTTATGGCTATTGCAGGAAGATAAGCAGTGGCCGTCCTCGCCCAGGACGGG